CTACAGAAGCCTCTGGCATCTGAAGTCAATACATAAAAGCGACATGAACTCACCAGGAGTAAGACTTTACCTCACATGTGCTCAACGTAAAAGGAAATATGGATAAACTGCAAGTTTGATTCACTTTGAAGGACGTGCATCACATAATTTGCTGCAAGAATTAGATCTTAGCTACCTTGCTAATACGGATGAGGTATAAAAGCCATACGAGCCGCTACAGCAAAAAGCTTCACCAGTTATAAAAAAAAAAAGAAAAGCAGGGTCCAGGGGAAGCCGACCTTTATGATAGGAGTTTGGGCTGTCTCACAAATTGCTTTTACAAATAAAAATTGTGTTCACCCGTTGCACCTTATCCTATACTTCAGAGGTCATTCAGAGCTTTTGAAGGTCAGGTAGATACAACTTTGGTTTAATCTATTATGTTTCATACAATTTGATTAAGCAGTGAAGGAATCAGTCCCAACATCAAAGGAAATAGGGTATCAATTAAAGGTTTAATACGGTATTTATACAATTTAAATTAAATTATATGGGAGATTTGAATATTTTCTAAATATTAATTTTCATGATTCATGAAAATGTTAAGCTAAGGCTTAATGGATTAAATAAACAGTTTGTTTTTTAGTTTTTTTGTCTTTCTCTACGTCTGTATACACATGACTCATGTATTTGACATTTCCTGTCATATGTTTCTAGGAACAGCTGCAGTTTGCATAAAGAAATTTGTTCATAGAGGACAACAACAAAAAAACAAAATGCTATTCATGAATAAATTCAGCGGCTTCTATGGTAACGACAAAAGGTACACAGTAATAGAAATATACTATATCAGTTGCACTGCTAAGATATGTTCAGGCAGCTGTAGTTAGTAGAATTGTTTAAGTCTATCACATTTTTTTAGCTAGGTCACTCAACTATATTAAATATTTGACCAAGTCTAGAGTCTTCTAGGCTTTTGTGAAGATATTGTTTGCATAAATGAGTCATCTTTAAATATAGCATATAACAGTTTGTCTAAGAGAAAAATAAATAGGGAATAGGAGGGTACCAAACGGGGTAAGGTTTGTCAAAGGGGAAGACTGACAAAACCAAATTATCAGGATCTCAAATTTAGGGTTCATCCACATTAAGTTGAAAAAGGTATCTACACAGAAAAGCGTAATTGTAAAGATGAAACCTTCCGAAGCTTAAGGAGCCATTATGTCACACCTGGTGGAGCTGTAGCACTTCCAGACAGATAAAGAAGTTAAAAAAAGGGAAGCGAGAAGTAGGTTGGAAACAATTAATTTAGAAGAGATAAAAATGTGTTTGTGTGGACTAGTGAAAGAGGAGCAACAAGTGATAAGTGTGAAATCCACAGTAAATTTGCTTGGAGGGGAAGGCTTCAAACGTATCATTCTGGGAGGTGGTTTCAAATGTTTGGACACTGCTTCATCATGAACCCCAAAACTGCACTAAAAGCTTATTGTATTTTCTCAAACCTTCCCTTTTAATCCCTTTTCAGCTCTGTTATGAATCTAATGAACTGTTGACTAAAGGCAGCACATAATGAATTAAACTTTCTAATACAGCGATACTGACTATGCTAACATTAAAAACGCCAAGACAATTTCTCAATATTACTTCTATTGAGACAAAACACTAGATTAACCACCCAGACACTAATATATACATCTAACTTCAAACTGTTCATCCTCTACAAAACCCTCCTGTGGTTTAATACCTGGTTGTCAGATTTTTGAAGGAAGGATTTTTATTACTTGTATAAATTGGATTATGTCAAAGACTACAATCCCGTGATGTGGGGTCCCTTTGGGTTCCGTCAGACCTTATTTTATTCTTGCCGCATAATCTACCAGCAGAACAGATGTTAAAGTAAGACTTGATCCTATTTAATGAGTGCTGATTATATAAATGTTCATTACTACTCGGTTTATGCAGAATGCTGTGCAACTGCATTTGCTACTGTAGTAAATATCCAATGTGAAAAGGGTTAAAAAGAGTTGTAAAAGTGCCAACAGGTCAGTTTTTAAAAGCATGCTTTAATCCCTTCTCACATAAGAACATTAGTGATTAAAAAAAGGCTAGATCAATACTTACTTTGAATTAAAACACAAGATTTGAAATGATCTATTTGAGTATTAATCAAAATGTTTGACTTTTTGTACCTGCAAGAAACCAAGTCTGCAGAATATGATAAAGTTAAAGCTGCAGTAAAAAGCAATCTCCTCTCTCTTTGAGGCTGTTTTATGAATAGGAAAATTTAAAATTAGGGAAAATGTAAAATCTAAATTTGAATGTGTACAAGTTTACAGAAAAAATATTAATATTTCAGACTCATGCAGAATATCATCTCTTAGTGCTGTTGTTCATCTATTACAATCAGAGGCTAAAAATTCTGAATGAACAAAAACTACAGTTTATCTGTTTATCTGTTTTGGGAAGGATTTTTTTAAATATTTTTAATCTGTGTATGTTTTCTTTGCAGGCTTTGCAGGGTTAAGTCCATATGGATAACCAATTTCAAATTTTTAAAATAATCTCCTTCGCAATAGGAATCTGTGTCTTTATTGCCTTCCTGTTTGTTTGGTCTCCTAATCACATTTTGTAGTGTATTTATTTACCATCTTTATCTCAGACATCGCTTTTATTGTGTGTCTCTTGATAAAACCTGGTATATAATCCTTTGAACGCCCTGGACAAGAGGGAACCTTACAAGTGTGCATGAAGTGGGTCTTTCCGTCCACTTACAGAACACATCGTCAAGAGGAACACTTGAATGAGTGTTGGTGCGAAAGATCTGTTCCTCGAGACATCTTACACCGGATTACTTCTCATCTAAATGCACAAACAAGACAGCTCTAGGTGTTTTTTGTCTTGCTTCAGTAGACAAACAATAACATCACAAGGCTTATAATAAAATGAAAGGGTTAAGGCAGATATTTCTGTTTGTATCGAATAAAATTCCATATTGAAACCCTAGAAAGATTGTAATCTGTACAAGACTCAATGCATTTGCGTTAGATAACGGTTTGGTTCAGTCTTGTGCTGAACTAACATTTTTAATTTTTTGCCACCGTCGTAACCGATGAACAACAGCACTTACAGACTTTATTTATGTATTATGAAATATCAATAATTTATCAGAAAACTTGTATACATTAAAATTTAAAGATAAAAAGTGGAGCTCTTCCAGATCCCCTGATATCCTACGGTGGGCTGAAATATTTTCTACATAGGCTGTGACAGGCATGGGAATGATTGTGAAGCTATTTGCATGGCCTGCAAGGGATTGCCTAGGCATGCTTCACCTCTGCAGAGAGATTTCTTCACTAGTCTGCCTTTTACACAGGGAAAACCTAACTGACATTCCCTGTTAGCTAAGGGCAAGTTCCTTTATTTGTTTTCGAAGCTACAACTTAACCACACTCTGCAGCTGTTGTTGGGTTTCACTGTTTGAAAGGATGGGACATCCGTAGTGCCTTTCAAAATTATTCACACCCCTTCATTTTTTACAGACTCTATTACGTCACAACAACAGACTTTGGTCAAAACTAACAGCAGCATACTGGTGGGGTTCAAAAATGAATGGCTGCTGGGGTTCTGGTAATGACGATGAAAGTCTTGAAGCTTTTGGATTCAGCCACTTTTACTTTGACGCCCATAAATAAATTCCACAGCAACAAATTCAGACGATAAGTAAGTAATACATGGAGTCCACGTGTGAGCTATGTAATCTCACTATAGTTACAGCGGTTAGAGGTTTGGCAGGGTTGGGTCACAAAAACAATATCCAAAGGTTTGAGCATTTCACATAACTTTGTTTATTCCACCAGGATATAAGAAGAGTACAACCTATCTAGCTTTTATTCAAAAGTTGAAAGAAAAATGTATTATTGAAATCAAAAGCCAATGGAGGTTTAGTTTGTAGTTTACTACAAGACATCTAGGGAAAAGAAAAGGGAGTTCTCGTCAGATTAGACCACAATTTAAAAAAATAAGACCCTGAACACACCATTCAGATTGATGTACATGGTGGAAGCAGCTTGATCCGGTGGGGGATGCTTTACTTCAAAACTGGGAGATTGCTAAAAACTGAGTACACAGCAATCCTGGAAGAAAACTGTCCTAAAGACCTGAAATAATAGATTTTCACCTTTTAGCAGGACAACTCTAAACCAGAGAAACAATGGACCGATTGAGAGCAAAGATTTTCCCATGTGCTAGAATGGCTCAGTCAAAATCAGACATGAATTGAAGTGTGAATAAAAGCATTAATGCTTTTGCTTCTGATGTTAATGGGGTTGACCAGAACAATCTCAGAAAAAGTAGAGAGAAAAGAGAGATGCAGTTCAAAATACTTCAAGGAGTGGTTCTACAAGTCAAAAAGCTGAATTTGATATGAGTACATGTTAAAAATGTACACAAGGAACTGCAGCTGCGTTGTAACTAAGGGGTGTGTTTGAGAATACACGGACTAATCCAAAAGCAGATCCAGTTTGCCCTGACGGACTGGGCCACGAGCAGAGCAGCTGATCTCTGAAGCCTTCACAGCAGCAGCTTTAACTAGAAATGTTATGGCGTGTTTAGGGCGTTAAAGTAGCAGCAAAGAGGGAACACTGTTTATTGCTCCCTGGCTGCCTGGTGGCTATATGCTCCACAAGCTGACAGGGCCAGTAGGCGCAAAAACGACGCAACAACTTGCTCCTGCCTGTTTTCCCAGGATTTCATGTTTTTTCTTTTTAATTCATCCCCCTCCAGCTGAGAGCGCAGGGTAAAGTCCACGCCTGTTATAAAATAGTCCTGTGTGGAGCAGCCTCCGCTCGAACAATTTGTCTTCCACCGCAGCGCGCAGTATTAAAACGCGATCAGCAGCGACATACGCATGAAAAACGAGAAGAAAAATCACAAAGAGTAAAATATTAACATGTAAGGACAGCAACCCTGTGCTTACACTGCAAAGAAGACAGCTGCAAGGGGAAAGAGAATCTGAAACATACCCTCCTGTCAGACATGCATCCAAAGGAGGACCATGGATGAGGCGCACCGTTCAGTCCTGCTGCTGCCGCTCAGTGTTTATTTCCCGGTTAGAAGGAGAGGGAGTGGGTCGGTGTTTTGCCGGTGGAAGGCGTAATGAGGGAAGGAGGGAGGAGGAGAAGAGAGAGACTGAGGGAGGGAGGGACGCTGTCAGATGCGGGGAAGCAGAAGAAGACAGCGCATATGTGTGCGAAGAGGGAAAAAAAACACTCAGAAATCTCAGTGTCTCTATCTACAAGTGTCATTATGTTAACAAAATAAACATGCGCGTGAAAGAAGGAAATAAATAAAAGGTGACATAATCCCTGATTGATGTGTGCTGCATTCATGCGCTGCGCGTGGAATGAATGGTCACTGAACATAAGACACTTGAAACCCACTGACTGTTAGCTGGTCAATTATATATATATACATATAGAGATATTGGTATATCTATATATTCATGTAACATAAATATTTCTGTTTCTCTCTCTCTCTCTCTCTCTCTCTCTCTCTCTCTCT